TGGTTGCGAGATCGGTCAAATCTATCGAACCCACACAGAGAATAATTTCTGAAAATAACAGATAAATAATAAAGTTTTTCCTTTAGATATGTTTGATAACTATTTGGACATCATAAAGATTACATGTGTGAAATTTCAAAATTTTCTGATGCATAAAAGTATTGTTACGACAGGGAGTTTCTAGAAGGATCATGACTTATCGAGGAACTCCACAAATAACCGAGTGTTTGCCAGGCACCCTCTTTTTTAGTATATAAGCCCGGCAAATAAAGCCAGCAATAGATAGATTGAAGATAGATTGCATCACTGGTTAAAAGACGAAGTAGTATAATATGAGTTAATTACCTACAACTGCATTTCTACAATTAAAACCACATGACAGATGCTATGTGAACACAACAGCTCACAACTGTTGCATCAGCTCTGGATTGGTAGTACCATGTTAAAATTTATGGGTGGATTAGAATTTGTAGTGTACTCTTTGCTGAATGCATGTCCTTGCTGGATTATTGTATGAAACAGAGTATAACTTTTCTTGCTGACTCAATATACTGTCTACCTGCAGAAACATGTTCATGAGCATAAACTGGTAAATACAAGAAGTAATGGAATGAAGGTTATATTGAAACAATTTTGGAAAGTCTAAAGCTACATCACGGGCTTCCATCTTTTTCCACAACAATCTTTTGCAAATTAATCCTTGGGACTACACACTATGCTGCAGTTTGTTGGGCAATTTTTACAGTTCAAGCATGTGTTTTGTTACGGTAGTCATCATTTCTATTTTGCACAACAACAGTTGGAAAGGGAACTGCCAATTTCAACATAATCATCTATAAAAGGAGTCTACCAGTTAGTGAATACCATATTCCAGTAACTTCCATTGCTTGATGACCAGTAACTGCCTCAATCTCCTAGCATTGTAAATTCACAGGTATGCATAAGCTTCGGCACACGTCTCTAAAACCATGGTCTGCAACAACAACATCATGTGGTTTTATCTTGGATGTGTTCAATATTCTATTTCAAATTTATGATGAATTATTGTATGATCCCATAACAGTCACATTGTATTCATTTATAGACAGTCATCATTAGCTTTACAAGGGGCCATTTTTCGTGCATACTGTAGCTACTTTTTGAAGTTATAGTTACCACTTTTTTTTTTATACATTGATATAAGTACTGCCTAGAACTATAAATGCCATATGACTTTTTCCATTAGCCATCAGTTCCTTTGCTGGGAGGTAAGTGTGAGTGTCAATTATTTCTCAATGGCTAATATACCCAAATCACAAATAAAGTAGAACAGATTCATAAAACCAAAATTGTTTGAGACAAGTGAATTGCTCTCTGTATGGCAAGAGAATCCTTTATGCCCAAAATAGTTGACAGAATCCTATTTGACAATCTGGTATGAAGCTTAACCAACAGGACAGCTAAGAGTAAATGATAAACTTCTACATATTCTATGCAATAAAAAAACGTTTGTAACCATTAATTGCATTGGAGATATCCTTTACTGTTTGCTTCTAGTGGTTAAAGAGAAAAGGGAGAAAGATGCTCTGAACTTTGCAGAGTTGCATCGGAAGTTGCAAGGAAGTGTAAGTTTCAGATTTGTGTTTTATGTTTGCATATGTGAGTTTTCTGTGTTTATTCATAGGCTTTGTAGAGGAATCTTCAAGTTTTTTGTTGGTTTTAGATTAGTTTAAAAATACTTTATAAAAATATTTGTATAGTACTTTGAATTTTTTGTACAATTTTATTAATGCATTAGAAAATATATCAACATTTATCCATTGAATGTGATTTAAATTTTTTTCCCTGTTATTATTTATTATGTCATAATAAAATTAGATATTGGTGTATTCTTTTAGACTTTCACTCTTAAGTCCTTAGAATTCCATTTAGATGATGGTGACAACACCTTACTCCAGTGGGAAGTTTGTATTCTGCACATGTATTCTGGCCTATATCAATGATGTTGGTAGTCATATCTATTGGATCATGGCAAAAACTTTTCAGTCAAGTTAAATGTTATAAGAAAGCAAAATTTTGAATATTGGCAACAAATGTAGGTTTACATGAACAGAAAAAAAGCAATGTGGACAAAACATTGGTTGTAGTTGTTGGATCTAAAAAATTCCATCATTATGCAGGAATGTAATTAGTTTTCAAAAACACCAAACATTAGAGATTAACTGTAGGACAGGGGAATTCTGGGGTCCTTACCTGGTGGTAGTTGGTGAGGCGATGTCCTTATTCGGAATCCGTGATTTGGCATTTTTGCACTTTCAAGAGTGTTTAGAACGAGCGAACTATCTGTACTTGAAAAACAAATAAAAATTCATTTTCATCTATTTAAACTTTTGTAATATGGCAAAAAGTAGAAAGTCTCTCTGATAGACAACTCAAGCTTCAAAATTCAAAGTGAATCTCCTCAAACCCCACCCTCAATCCATAAATATTCCAAATTAGTTAAATTTAAACATTATCTAACTACAATGTGATACACGTTTATACATAATTATGACTACGTACAACTGTTGCTGACTTTTGGAAAAGTATGCAGTGATAAACACAGATTTGTAACATTATTTCTTGAAGAAAAAATTGGCAAGTAAAATAATGTATGACATAGTAAATTTATCTTTCCTGACTTGAAATCATTTGGAAAGTTGTTGAAGGAAAATCAAATCAAGATATAGAGTAGGAGAAATCACTGCTTTGTATCATATTGTGTGTGTGTGGTGAATAGCAGCTTCTTCTAAGATGATACCTCACCTCCCTATACAGATTTAGCTATCTTTCTCACATGTTTGCCAAAGAGATTTGCATGCCACTAGCCTTGAGGAAACTCCTATATAATCATGTGATTTATCATGACTTGTGCTATGGCATGATGATGTAATCATGTGACAAAGCCCTCCACCAATATGAGGACAATACACTTCCATGCGCAATAACTCCTATTATGCAGTTGCACTCATGTAAACTTCATTCTTCTCCTTGACATTGCATTGATCAGACGTGTTTAATTTTTCATGTCCAGTTCAATTTGTTGAGATTTGCATCATTAACAAAACTTTGAATTTCAATTTTCTTTTGCATTTGTTTCAAAAACTTTAATTTTTATTGTGCATTATATAAGATAGTGATTTATACTTAGTCCTGAGTAAGTGATGTGATTAGGACTTATTTCTACTGTGGCTCCAGGAAGCTTGTTAGCTATCATAGTTGTTGCAGCCATTGTTCAATATGCTTATTTGGCTTCCTACTCTCCTCAGTTGAGAATGATCTGTTGAAATGCGACCTTCACCTGTTTTCTTTGGGTAGTACATTACCATTTGTGAAACAACCTTAACCTTCCTTTTTTTCTCTCTCTGTCCCTTTGGATTTCATTCTCAGTTATGTTTCTTTCCTTCTAATTTGCTTGTGTTATTTTTTAATTTTCATTTTATCACTCTGTGACCCACATTTCTTTCATTTAGCTTGCATTCTCTCATTTGTTATTAGAATATATACTGTTTCCTTTCTCTAACAACTTTCTCATGCCTAATTGCCTTGTCCCCCTTAAGTTTAGGACTCTTTATGTCCTATTTTGTAGAATTTCTTCCTTTCCCTTTCTCAATTTCCTTTCATTGGTATCTTTCTGGCCAGCTTGGGGATCCAGTCCTTTACCTTCTATCTCACTCTCTGGTTTCCATTTTCCTGCTTTTGTATTTTTCTCTCTGCTTTCTAGTACTACCTTTCCTAACTCCACCTTTTATCTGAGGTACTTCTTCATGCTTCAGATGGGTCTCTGTAGAGGTTTCTTCCTTTCATTGTTTGGTCTGTTCCACTTCTTCCGCTTTGTCCATCCATCCTTTGTTCCTCGTTATTGGGATTTGTTGGGTGGGGTTGCACTCTTTACTGTACTCCTTCCTTTTTCTTGTGTATTTATTGTTTGTCAAGCTCCATTTCTTTACCTGATTGTCTTCAGTGGAGTTCCTTTCCTCTCTGATAACCTGGACTGATGTTATATGGCTTCTGTCCTCATTATCTTCCTAGGTTTTTCTTCTTTCTTGGCCTTTCCATTTACTCCTATTCCCCATCTGGTTCAGCCCTCTCCTCACCTTCCCATTTGAGATTCCAGGCCTTCCTGTTTTTATCATTTTCCCTCTTCCAGAAGTTTAGTTCATCAGTCTTCTTGTGAGTGACTATCACACACATATGATCCTGTGGGTACCCATCTCTTCTCCTGTTGTTGGTCTCAATTTCTGCCAACAGTCATTATTCTTTTCACCACCTTGATTTCTTTCCCTGCTCCTTTTACTTCCACTTCTTTTCCCATTTCCTTTTCTCCTTCATTTGGCCCTAACTATGATGTTTTTTACATCCAGTCTGCAGTTGGCTGTGGTCAATATGTCAGGCACCCTTCCACGTGTTCTTTTCAACCTGCATTCCCTTTGTTATCTCTGTTCTGTCTTTCTTTTTTACTTCTTCCCTTTCCATGCTCTTCCCTTCACCACAGCATTGACACTTCTTGTATTCTTTTATATCTTGTGGATATTTGTTTGCTATATTTCTTGGGCTGGCATTCCTTTATTGGACTATTTACTTGTATTAGTTCATTCTCAGCTCTTTCATCTTCTCTTACCTTCCTTATTTTTTTTTACTGTGATTACTTGGCTGGGAAGTGGCTACTTATCCTAGGTTCTCAATCCTTTCTCACACCCACTCAGTGTTTGGTACTTTTTGGGTATTTTCTCAACCAAGTTCGACCTTCTCTTCTTTGCCTGCAAGCTATGGCATGTTTGGTCACTTTGCTTTACACTTTCCATTTTCTACCTGCTTGAGAAGTTCTTTTGCTTTAGGGGATTCTAATTTCACCGCAACTCTTTCATTTATTTTGGGCATGCACTCCTGTGTCTCCTCTGGTGAACCTTGCAAATCTAGACTTTTCTCCTTAAAGTTCATTGACGTCTTTTTTTTTAGCCTCTCCTCGAGGAATTGTTGTGGTGACTGGACCATGTCTGCACTACTTCCTGCATTCCCTTACCAACTTTCAATCCTAACTCCTTCCTTCCCTTTATGAGTGATTAACATTTTTAGAGGTGGGAAGGAATTCTAACCTTTGAATGCCAAACAGGCATCCCTTCCACATCATTGTGCCATACCTTCTTGGTATTTGTTGGGCATGTTCCACATCTTGCTCCTACTGGTAATCATTTAGTCATGTTTCACTCAGACTATTCCGCTGTCATTTCATGCTCCATCCATCTATGAGGCTTCTGATTCATGTGAAATTAAGTGGGATGCCTCAAGGTTAGTAGCATGCAAATGTCCTTGTCAGACACATGAGGAAGATAGCTAAATTTGTGTAAAGAAGTATCTATTGGAAATACATTTTCAGATAGGGAAAAATATTCACTTTGCTGTGGTTCTGATTTCATATCAAATTACATATCTGTCTGCAGGCTGAGATGTAAAAATAGATTTGTGCTATAAAGATAGTCGGTGCATTCACAATAACTCTCAGCTTGATCAGAATTTGAGTGTTTCATTCCATTCTTTCAACAGTCATTTATCAAGTCTGCACAGTTTTTTTATATTAAACAATGATAGGCAGAAGCTATTGATGAAAAAATAGCTTCTGTTATCTACATCCCAGTTATGAGTCCTGTTAATGCTTCTTAGATGCACTATTTCTATTGTATGTTGCATTGTTATGTTTTGATGACTAAACACACATGCAGTACCATAACATGCTGTCAGACCAAAGGAACACAACCATTTTTTAACTTGTAAGTGATCCTTGGAAGTGTGTATTATTACACTTATTATCACTAAATGTGTTATAACAGTAGTAGTAGTTTTATGGTGGTTTAAATTTGGGTTTGGGTTTTTTCTTCTTGTAATTAATAATCAATATTCATTTTATCCTTTATTGTTTTGTTTTTTAATCATACTTTCAGTAATTTCATAAATTGTAATTTTCCTATAGTTAGACCATAATTCTAATATATTGCAGTACTGCACAAACGTTGGTTGTCAGGAGACGTAATCATAGAACATTTATTGAGATCAGAGTACTCTGAATTTGGTAATACTAAGAATGGTAATGCTGTGAGCATAAGGTCTGTTGAAAAACAAGCTTTGGCAATTTTTGGGACAGTGAAAACTGACAACTGTGTTGGGATTAAAGATTAAATTTTTACTGTTTAATAACAGTTGTATACATGAAAACAAGACTTCACTTTTGCAGGCATTAAGCAAACTCACCTTTGCATATTATGCTTGATAGTTTGTGTTTTAGTAATAGATTTTTGTTTATGTACTGTAGCATAATCTAAAAGAGAACTGATAGTGAATAATTTTATCATTATAGGTAGTGCTGAAGAATCGATGGGCAGTCTTGTGTTTCCTCCTCAATCTGAGTGGATCAAAGAACAAATACCAAATAAAGGTTGTTTTAAATATGATCACATATATGATACGAATATAAGAATGAGTAAGTCGTAAATTGTATAAAATTGCTTATCTTTCTTCATATATAAATACATTAATTTTTGATGTTGCTCTTATCAAAGAAGAAAACTGAAAAACCATAAACACATTGAAAGTTTTATGTTGCATACACCAGGTAGGTTGAATGAATACTTGTTTACTAGTTTTTGTTAGTAACTAACTGATGATTTTAAATTTAAAGAAAGTACCATCATTTTAATTCTCAGAAAAGAGTTGAGCTTTGAAATTGTCTCTTTCAACAGAATGTAAAACTCCTGACCTTATAAAGTTTAAAATCATATTTATTTTTTGTTGTTTCACTTTGAATTATAAACAGTACCTAATAGAGTTTTTCAGATTATTAAGTTTGCAATATCTTTGCACTTTCTTCTGGATTTTTTTTTGGCTTGAGCCTGCTAAACCCAACCTACTAACAGACTTGATTTTACATTACACATCTTTTGAGTGAAGTGAGAGTCCTACAATATTTGAAAGTTTGAACATTTTAAATTCTTTAAAACATCCTTAATTTTCTTTTACAAAGTATAGAAATAGCACAGTCAACTAAAATGGTCATACTTGTAAATGAAACATTAAACATGCATGTGAAAAGGCAGGAATAGTATTGTTTGGGGGGATTCCCATGGTCATTCTCTTTGTGACACTACTGCTATTTTTTTGCTGTTGCAAAAATGCTATTATACTCATAAATACATTTTATATGATTGGAAATTTTTTAAAATGCATTTCTTGAGTTCAAACACCCCCCTTAGGACACCCATCATGGTCATGGTACTTGAATGCTTTTTTATTCTTAATTTAAAACATGGGATGCCATAAAATTTTGGGAACCACTTACCAGCTAAAATTTATCAGAATGGGACTCCATGGTTACCATTTTCCTTATTCTCAAGTGAAATTTAACTCAGTAGGAAACCATTGCAAACCTCAAGTAACTGACTAACAATTTTAAAACATCCAGTCTAGACAAAAAGAATGAAGTTATTTCGAGCACAGATGCTACTGAACAAGAAGGTTGTGTATTCCTTCCACTGGTGGAGGGCTATTGTCACATGATAGTGTCATCATACACAAGCACAGTTCATGTTAAACCTGTTTTTTAGGTGGGAGGTAGCTGCAGATTAGTGGCATGCAAATCTTACATATAGATGTACGAAGGAATCAATCTATTCTATGTACGGAGGTATTGTATTGGAAACCTAGTTTCAGATAACTTGCATAAAGTATATTTTTTCATGGCAGGAAAAATATATTAGCAAAGAGACAAAGTCTTCCTAGTTTAGTGTTTGTGGTTCACATGACCATCTCATTTTTTTTTTTTTACTTAGAAAAAAAATCATAATGATGTTTCCCTCCATTGTAAATTCTCAAGTGATGATACCTTCCACTTTTTCCCATAATAGTGACGATGTTCCTAAAACAGAACCTGTGGCTATTGGGAGCTCATTATCTGTGGTGGGTGTAAATAAATTAGAGAAAAGGAAGGACTTAAGAGAACAAAATGTCACAATTCTCATACTAGGGGAGATTGAGGATTTTTAAAAATATTTTCGGATTAAATTAAGAACTTAAACCTTGCATAATATTAAAATTTGATTTATCAAATACATTTTGATACAAAGTTTATTCATATACAATGGTAATAAAGTAGTTTAATTAAATGTTTTAACTAAATGAAACCTCTTTTTCAAAGTAGTGACATGCACATCTTGACCTACCAGTAGCAAGAGGATTAAGCTAACTTATTGCATTATGATTTTTTTTTAGCATTAAAATATGTGATTTACTCAGATTTTCTTTCAGTTATTTGATTTCATTCAGGTAAAACTTTGATATATTATTATATGTGTTAATAGCCTTCATAAGTCATTAGTTTAAAATCTTTGTGTTCATTAGGAAATGAAATAGATCTAAAAAAAATATGTATTCTCTGTCAGTTTCTATTATGTATCTTTTATATGTATATTAAAAGTTTTAGTAACCTTGTGTGTATGTATTTAAACCCCAGTTCATGTTTTTCTGTATTTCAAAAATGTAAATTCTATTTCTAAAAGATTTCCAATTGTTCATCTTTAGAATGGACCGTATGGACTTGGTTTTACCAAATTTGCAACATTGACTCCATTACAAAATGTAGGTTTCTGTGATGCCACAAGAAGTCAACAGTCAAGAACTGTTCCCTCAGCTAAAAATTTGGCCATAATACCGGGTTCGGAGAAGATAGAGTTTGCTTCTCTTCCATCAGCTTATCAACCTGCACGTTATAGCATATCTGTTGACCGTGCAGACCAGGGTCGAAGTAACCTGTCAGATAGTGGCAGTGGGAGCGTGTGTTCTCATTCCAGTAGTAATCGTGTTGCCCGCATGGCAGCTTTATTTTCTGGCAGGGAAAAGACAGAGGGAACACTTGTACCAGTGATAACAAAAAAAGATAAAATATCTGCCTCACAAATTGTCAAACAAAGACCTAGAAGCTTCCCTGATCTGAGTAAGTCTTTCTTATGATTTAAAATTTTTTATAATTATTAAAAGCTGATGGCTTACTTTCAGCTTTTTATTTGTCTTTTTCCCATTTTATTTTTCACCATTAATATACTGATAGCAGTATTATCATTCCAGCTCAACAGATTCTTGAAAACTATCTAAATGTGGTAATGTTAATTTGTCTTCTTTTTTAATTTTGTCTGGTGCATTGTTTTGAGATTCAGTTTACTGTGTAACTGATAATAAACTATTCATTTTATTATACAACTTTCAACCTTCTAACCAAATGACAAAAAAAGCTTTGTCTACATCAAAACAAGTTCTTTTCATTTGACATGTACGTGTGAAGCCAAAAGCAATAAAATCTAATTGAAAATGTTTCAAAGTTATGGAAAATCAGATATTATTAAATACAAAACCATAGAAGGAGGAGGGATAGATATCTCAAAGAGTGGAATAAAACAAAAATTGTAGAACTTTCAAGAGATGTTGTGATCTTGGAATCCGAGACCATTGCAAGGAGTTTTACACTGTTAATTCAGATGATTCGTACAATCCTGATGAGGATCTTATAGAAAATGGAGAAGAAAATCTAAATGACAATGAACTTTTGGAACATAGTAGTATTGTGTAATTTCTTCTTTTTATAGTTTTGATAAAATTGATAATTCTGCTAATATAATGCAAATATTCATAATATTAAAAAATATATGTTTTCTTGCTCTTTCCATGTTTTAATACATCACATTAAGCACCTGTGTGATATACACACACATTCATTTACATCTGTGAATTACCATACAAGTGTGGTTTTTCTCATGAATAAGCCTTTTTATGTAAAGTCATTAAGTGTGATTCCTTACTGTACTTTTATTTTCCATCCATTCATTATTTTATATTACCTTTGTTTTCTCTTCTATCTACTCATCATTGCACATTGCCTTTGTTTCTTTTCCATCCATTCATTATTGCCTTTCTTTTCCATTCATTATTGCATGTTGGTCAAATGTTAGTGTTAACTGATATAGCAAAGCTTGTTACTAGACAATACTTACATTTCCATACTACTTCTATAAACAACAAATGTATAAAACTTAAATTTTCTCATCATTCACAAATGTGAGGGGCACTCAGTAGAGCACATACCTCTGCCACACGGTGTTGTTCATATTCGGCCCTCCAAAAATATCGTCTGTTGTTATCGACAGACACTGACCATTTTTTGCAGGACAACAAGGAATAATATTCTACATATGTCCACCAAGTTTCATCACAATCCAATCATTTTTGACTGAGTTATAGAGCAAAAATTGTGTGAAAAATCAGTCCCCATGTTAACAGATAGGGATTTTTATTTTCATGGCCTTGCTATGACCTTGACCCTCCAAAAACTAGTCACTTCTGAGTTGGACCATAATCCAAATGTATAACAACTTTCATCCAAATCCATTCAGCTATTTTTGAGGTAATAATGGTGGCAGAGGTAATAATAATAAAAAGGTTTTGATCACATAGAATGATGTAGGTGGAGTAAATACAATAATGATGATAATCTTCTTTGATAGATTGTTGATGATTTTGTAAGGAGAATTTGTTAGGAAACTCCATATTTCAATGCTTCATATAGGGAGAATTAAAGTATTAGAGAAGAAAAAGACGTATATAAAAAATCTTGTCCTAAGATTTTCTGTCTCAGAATTATACACATCCATGTGAAGAAATAAAATGATATTTGTGGCTATTTTCTTATAAGTTATACTTGTTTTTATTATTAAACAAATTTTTGAAGCTAATTGTGATGTGTTGTATACAATAGTTACTTCTATATTCATGGCTGTCTGTGATGTACCAAGCAATTTTATGTTGCTTAATGAATTATAAGTTTTTCCCATGTTTTTCGAGGGAAACTGGTTCGAAAAATTGCATGAATGTGTGAAAAGTGATCGTGTAAGTCTGTGTCAAAAAGAAGTAAATTTACTGTGATTCCAATGTTTTAAGTAGTTGCAATGTGAGACCATTCATAGACAGTTTGTAAACTTTATATTATTGTAAGATAGAGATAGAGTTTTCATAACACAATGGTTATAATACATTAATAATGGTATATAAATAATTTTTGGTGACTTCAGAGAGTGACAAGCAAATGTACTCTTTTGATGTTTATGATAGTTTGAAACTCATTCCAGAAACAAATCTTTGTTTACTTCAACTTAAAAGTTTAAATCCTGTTATCATCATCATCAATATTTATTAAGATGAAAAGTTTTGGCCTTATTTCAGTTGTTTTTAAAGATAAGCTACTATATTTCTTTGATATCAATTTTAATATATTAACTTATTATTATGTGTAAAGCTCATCGTGTTAATTCAATAAAAATAAAATTGCATTATTTTATGTAATTTTATATTTTTCTGGTTAAACATATTATAACTAGTAAGTTTTTAACACAAAACCAAAGTGCTGTATGTATATTTATAGATAATCTCATGAAATACCTAGAGTTATTAGTCTGTAAACTTTCACAGGTTATTATTTGGTTTATGTGAAAGTAACTGTTATTGAATTTCTGTTTGTTACATATATTTAATAGTTAAATATGGTGCGTGGTTAATAATAATAACTTCTGAGAAAGAAGAAATTTGCCATTTTATTATAGTAAACATACTTACTATAACAATATTTATTGTTTTGTGTTTACTCCTAGTTCTTCCTGTAATACCTGAAGGTATATTGCTGAGAGAAGTACTCTTTGCTTTTCAAGGTATTGAAGGAAAATTTATTAAAGTGCAACTTGGAAAAGATAGATTCCACATTGATAGTAAGGTAAGAATTATTAACACTAAGATAACAAAGAAACATTTATCATGAAGTGAAAATATTTTAAAGTACATTTGATTTACAGTAATTGTTGATGTAAGATATATTACAGGGGATATATATTTTTTTAATTTTGCATAGTAGCAATTGCTACACAAAACTTTGCATAGCACTACCAGCACATGGGTAACGTGCTACCTCCGGTATATATGGTTTAGAAAAAAAATACTGCATCAAATTGCTTGAATCTTAAAAAAAATTTAAAAAGGCTATTTATTTTATGTAAAATAGGATTTTTATACTACACCTAGTAGTTCTGTGAATTCATAACCTAAAAATGGTGCTGTATAATGCCTTTCATCGCTAGACCTATTTGCATATGTATATATCTTTATCTTCCAAAATAGAAATCAGACCTTGTTCTAAAATTAAAAAAAAGCCATAACTTAGGTAAAAATGAGATTTTTATCCAACAATATTGTCTCCAAGCTAAATATTACATAGCTTTATGAAGTGTACGAAGGTAATCATACAAGTTAGTAGATAATTTGAAAAATCTCAAATCCAGGTTGCATGTTCACCATAATAATAACTGTATCACAATTTATGTTATGCAAGGGTAAGATTGAACAGCAAATAGTTGCAATTTGAATTGTTAAATACAATGCAATGTTTGATGAATTATTCCCTATATCAATAGTGAAAATAAAGAAAGCTGAAATGAAGGCAGAAAATAATTAATGTAATACCTGTTTAGAGTAAGGTAAGAAATGTTAGTATTTAAGTTATTTGTTTTAGTTGTTTGATTAAAACGTATTCAAAGTGGTTTGGTTCATTTACTGCTAAAAATTGTTCACAAAATCCTATTTTACCTTAGTAAATTATAATCTCAGTAACTATTAACACAGTTTTTATTTGAATAAACTTTTTATAATTAATGTATATTGCTGTTAGTAGGTTATACAAGATATTTTGACTTTAACATAAAAGAAAATAAATACTCTAATTACATGAAATTATTATATAGAACACCTAATAGTTTATAGCTCACAAAACAAATCTGCTTTTTCTTTGGTACTCCATACTTTGTGATTGTATACGCAATTTGCCAAGCTTTTACAACCACATGTGATTAAACAGTTTGTTACCTCACCCTTATTTGCTTTTACAATGGTTAGTCAAAAATCTAGTAATCTTATATAAAATAAAGTCTTAATGGAAACAAATTTGAAACTTGTATAGTAAACTGAATATTTGGAAACATGGTGTTTATACTCAGTCAGACATTGTTATTTTCCAGCAAGGACGCATCTTTACTGCAATTACAAAATGACACTAAAAGCAGAAAGATAATTGGCACATTTCATAACAAATTATTTTTCTGTTCAATATTTTTTATTGTAAAATTACTGTATTGACTTTAATTTTCCCATACAGGTGCTAAGTCTGCTAAATTTTTATGCACTTACAAAATTAATATACTATGATTTAAAAAGTAAGATTAAAATTGTATAAAGAATACCTCAGGCAGAGACCCCTATAAGTGTGTTTTCTTTTTATATATTTTTTGTGTTTTAATGACTTTTTATCAAATGTAATTGAAAATAAATTACATGTATTAAATATTGTTTGCTTGCGAAGACATCTTAAGAGGTGCATTATAGTAATGCTAATAATTGTATACAATATAGGCTGGAGTGAGTGGACCAGCACAGCGTCAGCTTTTGAGACTCACAGAGCTAGGCTGGATGTATAACAAAGTACACAAGTTCTGTGAAAGTCAGAATCTGGACAGAGCTTTAGGTCTGGTGGGACAGAGCTTTATTGCTGCATTGCAGGAGGAACTGAGTGAATACTATAGGTTGTTGGCAGTTCTAGAGTCACAGGTGTGTTGATAATTTAGAAATGTTAATAACAATCATCCTGGTGTTTTCATTTGAACTAATCATCAAGTATTTAAAGAGATTATAAAATTATGATAAAATTTTTATGGGATTAAGTCATCATCATCAGGCTCTCTCACTGGCTAATAATTTATGTATATAAAAGCCATTCTCTGATTGTAACACTATGTTTGTTGGTGACACTTGGCTTTCTGGTGGTAATGTTCAAATATGGCTCAATGGCTTGTCTCAAACGGAAGTCTCAAGTTCATATCCCAGTTGAGTGAAGATTTTTTTTATTATTAGTTATAATTAACTCAGGATATTTAAACCAAGATATTACATACAATACTAGGGAAAACCACAATAACATGATAGTTTACTTTAGGGATTTGAATTGTTTGTTAACATTAAATTACAACGACTGGGTGTCACAATGGTTATAGCTCTTGACTGTCATGTGGAAGTCCCGCATTCAAATCCTAGTCAAGTCAGGATTTTATGTTAATTTATTATATTTACAACAAGCTCTTTTAATATTCAGAAAAATATGAATACAATTGTAAATTTGTAATAATATCATATTGCATAATAAACACCATTGACTGTATGCATCTTTTCAATCCAATAAATGATACTACAATACATTATTAGTGATGTTTATCACCTTAGGTGAGATATTTTTAAAAATTTCATCAAAAAAATTTATAAGCATTTTTTATGAAAAGTTATCTCTTTGCGTATTTGCCCTCAACCATAAAATTCATTACCTTTGCCACCACACTAAATAAATTGTAGGGTCATATATTAGACCATGTAGGAATATTTCTTCAAGAACCAGTTTTTTGCATGGTTCAATCTATAAGGCTTTATAAAGAAGATTTGAACATAATATAAAAATATACATAAGTCAGAATTCTAATCAAGGACAACTTACAGGAGATGACCAAACATAAACAAAAAAATGTTGTTTTCATGAAATACTAGAAAAAGGATTAACATTCTTTGTACATATAATTGTCACTATGATTAATCTTTAGAAAACATGTTCATAAAACAATTATTTGGATTTAATTTTCAGAAGAAAAAATAATCAACTTTTACCATATTTTGATGGGCATTCATCTAGTTACTAAATACTCTTTCAATGGAGAGCATTTTTATTGGATCTAGTCACATCAGGTTCTCATGGTAATGACTGCTAAAGTACTTGACTAATGTCCAGATCATGCGCCATGTTTGCTATGAACTAATGGTTTGATAATAATAATTTTACAATAAATAATGAACCTAATCATTATAAGATTCTGGTGATAACAAAGGAAGAAAATAAAAGAATAATATGAATTGTTTAATATCAGTTTCTAACCAAGCATTTATTATTTATTAATTGTACATTTTTAGTTACAACAGAGTTTCAGCACTGAAGAACCATATACAAGTACTCGATCAGGGTCTTTAACACTTCATCAACTGGTGGTGTGGACGTTGGATCCATTTGTGAGAATGAAGCAACTGGCTGCTCTTGTAGATGCTTGCAGAGGCTAGTATCAACTGAATTTTATTACCATTTTTCTTTGTTTGGTAGATAGGTATTTGTAAAAGATGAAGATTAACAATTATTACTCCACTAACAATATCCAGATATATTTGCCCTCATCATGGCAGCTTCAATAATGTAATTATTTTTCTTCCACAAACCTTGTAAGTTGGTTAAAAAGAGCAAGATTAAGTTTGAAATGTTACTCAAGTACGGCTTCAACATAGAGCAATAATTGTACAATTAGCACTGAAATTGTAAACAAGTTATTTTTTGTGATTTTTTTAACCTTTGTTATGAAGTTATTAATTAGTTCATTCTTAAATCAAAATGCAATGTTTATTTATGTTTATGAAACAATATTTATTTTTTGAATGCAACAACCTTCTACAATACTTTGGTAGCCATGTTTTTTATCTGTGTTATTATTATTATTATTTTTATCCAGATTTATGTCCATTTTCATCATATTTTTAATGTGTTTACTTGTACAGCTTATAATTGATATTTTCTATACTTATTTTTTTACCTCTATATTGTCAGTTAACTAATGTTCAATGGTTTCATTAATTAATAAATCAAATTATGGGACAACTTTCTTTCAGGCCAAAGGGGAGGAGCTCTAGCATCAACTCTATATTCATTTCTGCATCATGCTGATCCTAGTATTCGTGAACTAGTCAAGCATATATTGTCAGTGGTAAGTAGCTAGTTTGGGTAAACAATTTCTAGATCAAAGAACTTTACTTTAATTGAAACCTGTTCAAAATCACACAGTGTGTACTTATAAGTTGCTTTTATTTATATATATTTATTCAAAGATTATTTCAGGGTCTAATTCTCTTTAAAAAATAATGTTATACTTGTAGCTGTTCCAGAAGCCTCAGAAGTGTGTTGTTTTAAAGGTTTCATGGATTATAAAAGAAGAATTATTTTTAATTGTGACTTTTTAACACGATATTATGAATACTATGCACATGCTGTTTACAGTACATTTAAATGTGCTTATTAAATTGTATGAAGATGTGTAGCTGGACAATGTTTTACATTGCTCTGTATTAAATAGTTCAATACAAGAACTTCTGGCTTAACCCTATTGCCCCGGGTATCCTTTACTGTACATGACACAAGGTCTTAGTGTCTTATATTCAAAATTTTATTATACTACTTTTTATTTATGTTATACCAATTAGAATAGCATAAATTCTTAGCTAATAATTCATATTTTAATACCATACAAGTTTTAAGTTCTTAATTCTACAAGGGAATATTTTAAAAAATCTTGAATTTCCACTAGTGTGACCCACGTGACACATTTTTTCTTAGCATATCATCATCCTTATTTTATTCATCATCCCTCGAAAATGTATGAAATTAAATGTAAATTATTCTATGTGAGATCGTTATTGCTCAGACAAACCATAATTTTTATTGTCTTCAATTTTATTTGGTTACAGAGATATTAAATAGAAAATCAGCCCTCTCCTACCACACCCACCTGTCACATGCTCTCTTTCACAATTCGTTGATAGTTTTCTCTTATGTTTCACTATATATTACCTATAACCAATAGAAAGTCAAGGTTTTCATGACATGTATAAAGTTGCATTCTGAACAGAATACCATCAATTTCACTCACAGTACAAGAGTCTTTACCGTGGGAAAGTTAACGACTAGTTTGGATGAATTTGTAATGGCTCTTGTTGCATAGTTAGAAAGCCAGGAAAATTTTGAGAGGCAAGTCAATTTGTCTACTTTTTGCATGTTATTAGTCTATATTCTTTTATGCATTATTTAATTAAATAAAAATTGTTAAGTGCATAACTATAATTACTATAAAAAATCAGGCTTAACTGTCCTTGAAAATCAAGGGCAAGAAAAAAGAAGATTGAGTAAGTACTTTATTTTTTGTTTTTCATATTTATTCGTTATTTATTATTATAAAAGTAACTAAAATCTAAAAATATGGATCTTTTAAAGTTATTTAAGACTAGATTAGGTAAAATAAGTAACAATAATAATATAATTAAAATGGTTCATGAGGCACCCACGCGAGCAGCTCATGGATAATTTAATATGATAGCGTAAGGTGAGCTACATGTTCCCTGAGTCATTTACAACTTATAATAGCAGGGATAGCAGTTAGACACGGTTCAAAGGGCAATAAAATAATAAAATTTAATTATAAATAGATGTATAATGTTATAAACTTAGAGCTACTTAGGATAAACGAATGTAGTTTCAATTTAAAGTCATTCTAGAAAGAAAAGAAGGTTAATTTAGGTTTATTTCGATTTTTTTTGGTGGTTACGAGGTTGGTCAAATTGGCCGATATCGTTTGAGATAGGGTAGAGAAAATAACAAACTATAAAGTTTTACTGAAAAAAAAAACGATTGAAATGCATTTAGAAGGTTTTAGGGATTACACAGAGGAAATTTTAAATTTTTGAGATGAGGAAAAGTATTTTTAATTTTAACATGAAAATTACTTTGCACACAGACTATTCAAAACAAATAATTGATATATTCATGGACAAATCTTTATTTTATTACAAATACTTCACTAAGAAATATGACTTTTTGTATGTAAAAGACTTGTGATATTAACTGAAAGACTGCCAAATTTCGTGAAGATATACCCACTATATTGAGAGTTATAAGTATTAAGTCTATAAAGACTTTAAATGAGTACAAATAGGTCACGTGGTCAGTCAAATTGACCGAGCTCATGTTGAGAGAATTAATATGAAAATGTGTATATACTTTATGCAATATTAGTAAAAATTGAACAAAGCTGAAAAAGTAAAGTTTAATATTTTACAAAGTGTTATATATATAAAACATGTATGTGTATGTATGCATATGTATACATGGCTAAGTAAATTAACTTTTGATTGAACAAATAGAATTGCTTTTTATTGTTTTTAAACTTTAAAATACAATTATTTAAGCAGGAATTTTCTTCACTGTGACTTGTATTCCACTTTATTGAGAACCATTGATATGTAATTTTTTGTTTGAAAATATATTTTAGGTTGTGCAACCTATTTACAGAATGTTAAGTCACTGGATCTTTAGTGGAGAGCTGGAGGATATGTACCATGAGGTTAGTGATCAGCTTAAGTGTTCTTAAAATTTACTTTTGAAGTTATAAATACTCATGTTATTGAATTTGTGGCTGACCAAAATATGGTAAACAGTGTATCTAAAATATCTATGAAACTAATCAATACATTAAAAATGTGATATATCTTTGAACATTTTATGAATAATTCTTAAGTCTAAGCAAAGATTTCAGTCCATAGAATTATCTTTATTTTGTTGGTAATTCCCAATACCATTGAAAAAAATAATCAGAAAATGGCTAGAAGAAAATCAAAAACTAATCTAAGTAAACACCTCTGTGTTTGTAGTAAAAATTACAATTTGTCCAGCAAAAAAGTAAAGAATACTGTTGAAATATGAAAACTATTTAGCAGAGATATAAATGTTCTACAGTAAAATAACATACTTTAAAAAAAAATGATTTAATTTTAACAACAATTAAAAAAGTCTCTCATTCACAATCAAAACAAATAATGAAAAAGTTAAGTGAATTTTTAACTTTCTTTACTTCAGACTAACAATTAACTTAGCTTTATGATAACACAGTGACATGCAGTAGGACTCCTAATAGGTGTATTAATTGATTAGAGTTTAAAACATTAGTTAAGTGCAAAGGTTTTTAAGTTTATCTAATTACTTAAACTTTGTTTAAAGATGTGCGTGTCAAATATTAAGAACAAGAGAGTGTCTGCAGATAATGACTACTCAGAGATTTTTTTTCATAGTTTACTTCCTACCTTTTTTTGCATGGTATCATTGTAATTGACTCACTGGATATTCACCTTCCAATGTCCAGCATGTTTTTTTGCTGACATTCACTAGCAATATCATCTTTGGGAGCAAAGACTAAACAACTCCTTGTCTGAGCAGATTTTGATAAAAAAGGGAGACAAAGAAATGTAATTATATTTTGACAGTGACAGAAAAAAGGTTATATAAATATTGAAAGGATAGTGTTTCTCATATATAAACGTTTTAATTATCAGTTACGCCTTATGGAAAGGATGTTGTAGCACAGTATTTTGATATACATTAAACAATAAATATTAAAATACATCGAACTGTGAAAAACCTCCTAAAAGTAAATGAATTGATAATTAGACACAATAATTAGTTCTTGGTATGACTACCATTAGTATATCAACCACTACATCTCTATAATTGTAGTGTATCTTTCATAATGTCATGTACGAACGTTCAAAGAAAAGTTATTTGAGGGAGTGTATTTACAGGGAATCTGATTGAATGATTAGGTGGATGGATTAAATTTAGAAATACTGCTTAATTTTCCTGTGCTAAATGTTTTTCCAAGTTTTCTCAAAAATAATAATTGAAAACTAATTTAAAAAGTAAAGTTGTCAAAGAAATTAGCATTTAAATAAGAAATGGTATTTTTGAAGTAGTTGCAACTTTGCAGAATTAAGACGTTATAAAAATTTGTGTGTATTTGGAAAAAAGGAGGAAAGACTAATAATGAGAAATTATAGTCACATTTGGTATACAATTTAATGAAAACTTGCCACCTATTTTAATCTAAACATCCAAATTGCATATCTATTTTCACACTGTAAAAGATGCACTTAAACGTACTTGAGGTGAAGATTGATCTGTTGATAATAGTCGTAATGCACAGATCTATCACAAATAGCCCTGATTGATTGTAATGTAATATCTAACTAACTTGCTAAGTTTCTGAGATCTTTGTAATTTGAATATATCTTAGGATGTGTTGTTTGATTGAAAGTAAAAAATTTTCTTTTTTTATATATCATTGAAAACAAATGTTCACCTATCGAGTTGTTAGACAACCTAATACTACTGTAGTGAGTGAATAACTGTGTTTTTGTATTTTATAACATATCAAAAACTAAGTATAAATGATTTTCTCTGTTGCTCGTTTTTTATGGTCAAAAGTTGGATAAAGTATACATTTTTTGTATGTATCTATATTTGTATGTGTATATTGCTTGTACAGTTACACCATAATTAATAAGAATTTCTAAATAAAAGTAAGTAAAGTATAGAGATGAGAACCAAAAAGTAATAATTTAATGAAGCCACTTCTGTGGTAGAAACTAACTAGAATTATATAGTGTCACATATCAGTACACCAGAAAAATCAAATCTTTAATGATTACAATGCAGCTAGGTCCCCCCATTCCTTTGGCATAACAGTAAGTATCAGGCTTACAATACTGAAAGCTGGGTTTGATATCTGTGGTGGGCACAGCACACATAGGTCATTGTGTAGCTTTGTGCTTAATAAATAAACAAAGCATAAGAAAATTAGGTTGTTTTTAAGTCCATGTACTAAATTAACAATGCTTAATAATTTTCATAATTGTAAAAAGCTACTCAAAATTACTACATGTAACCAATAATTTCATGAAACTAAATATAAAGAAAAATTTAGTCAGTCATTTCTTACAAAACACCAGCTGTTCTCTCCTGAAATCCATACAGCTTAACAATACATGAAACATACTCTGTAAACAAGTATAAATGATTGTCCTGTACTTCTTTGCTTAGTATGTTTTGTTATTAAGTTGAAAAATTGAATGTTTAAAAAACAAGTAGATATACTTATGTTTCAAGAGGAGTGATTATTTTTCCATAGTTTTTTGTGGCAGTAAATTCGTCTGTACCCAACACAAGTCTTTGGCATGAAAAATACAGCCTGAGGAAGACAATGGTGCCATCCTTTCTTACTATGAGTCAAGCTAGAAAGGTATAAAAATGTTTGGGTTCAGATGTGCGTGTTTTTCACATTTAATAAAGTACTATTTGTATTTATTGGATATGGTTACTTTTTTATGAAAAGCTCAGAAGCTATCCTATGTAAAGTCAGATCGGAAGAAAATATGAAAGTTTTTCATAATAATGATTGTAAGAGTGATTTATTCCTAATCATACTTTGAAAAATATTGTAAAATAGATGTATGTAAGTATTGCTGAAATTTTCTTTCAAAAGTCAGAATTCTGTTTTGTCTTGCTTTTGAATTTATCAAATTAAGAGTGTCTTTTTTTTTTTACCCATACTTCCAATAATAAAATAATCTTACATTATTATATAATTATTATATTATATTATTATATAATTATTTTATATTTTATATTATTTTAAGCACTTTATCTTGAAATGATATCTTGTTATATTTTTCTGTTGGTATCATCATCTGTTTTTTTTTTGTCCCAAGTTAACATTCATAGAAAAATTGGTGATTATCCCTGACATCTGTAAAATTGTAATTTTTTAAATATATGTAACACATTTATATCAGTTTTTTTACAATAAGTCTCACTTTGACATGTCTTCCAAATTAAAAACCATATTATGGTTGTACAGGAACTAGTTCGGTTTTCAAAACTTGGTGATTTCGTATACACCTCTTCTTATTTGTTTAACCAAGAGTATATCTATTTCACATTAATTTTAAATTTAACTGGCTAAATAAGCACAAATATTAATAGATAAAATTACTGACTTGTTTTGTTAGTGTTCACTATTTGTGGGGTTCACATTTTGCATTATATTGAGTAGTTTTATGTTTTTTGCCTGTGGCAACAATCATATGTTCATAGAATGAATTAAGCCATAAAATTATTTATATGTTTTTAATATGTTCACTATTAGTGGGGTTCACATATTGCATAATTTTGAGTAATTATTTATTTTTGACTGTTACAATGTTCTCTGTAGAAAATTGACCCAAAAAATTTGGTAAACTCGTTCAATTTTTTATGTAAGATACATAGGGTACTCCTGCAGTAATTAATGGAATTAATTGCGATATTGGCAGTACTTTTGTTTAAATTCTTTTTATGGTTTGTATGTTATTATGGATTCTGTATTAACTCGCAGAGTAAGGCACGCAAGCAACTTGGTGCATCAAAAGTTTAAAAAAATGTATTTAAAAAAGCCAGTGGAGGAGGGTCTTCATCAGTAATTCTAGGGTTAAGTACTACAATTCATATTTTCTTTATTGATTTATTTACATGATTAAATTAAGTATTTATGGATTCTGATAATTTTAGTATGTTTCTTTTTTATACATTATATATATATATGTACTGAATTTTAATGGAAGTTTGACAGAGTTGGAATTTTTCTGATAATATAGGTACTATCCACAGGAAAAGCTATCAACTTCCTCAGAATGGTGTGCCATGATCACAGTTCAGTTCGACCTCGAGATGAACAGAGCAAACAAATTGATACTGCAACAGGTAACAGAGTATTTACTGTTTTCACTGTTAGGAAACAATAAATGATGACAGTCAGTTAGAAAAAGATTTAAAGCTACCGTAGAAAGTAATAATTGTAAAAAAAAAGGTTTTTGAAACATGAAATAGTGTAATCTGATCCACACTTTCAAGGCTGGACAAATTAACCTTATTCCTTATGCCAAACAGATATATAAAAATGGTGATCTTTGGATACTAGCAAAAGATGTTAATTTTTTCTTGATATGTTTGGTAAAGTACCAAAAAAACAAAAATTTAAAATAGTATCTTTAAAGTTATGTAAACCATATACAAGTTAAAAATTGTTATCATTTGGTACATAAGTGTAAAAAAGTTCAAACCCAACTCCCCTAAGAAAAAAACAAAAAATAACAAAAACAGTTTGTCTATACATCTGTAAAACATTGAGTTACTTACTTTTATGAGTCCTTTTTTTTTTCAGTGGTGTCATTGTTCAATCAAGATCAAGACAGTGATTTCCAGAGACTTCTAGAGACCATTTATAAGGAAACTAGTCGCCATGTTCTCAAGTCATTGTTTACCAAATACAAGTTTACTGATCATTTACTAGTATGTTTGTTGTGTACTATTTCATAAGTATAACTATACAGAAATGAAGGGAACAACATGATTTGGTTACTACGAGACTATCTGATCTTTGCTAATTTATTGCTTGATTGTAGAAAAATATTAGTAGCTTCATGAATCTTGATTTTAAACCAGAAATGAAAGTCTGTCATTTATCAATGATTGTGTTTTTTACCTTTTTTTAAAAAAATGATGTTAATGGTATTTTAGTTAATGTAAGTGATGTTTTCTTGTTTTATTTTTCTATGCAGGCCATGAGAAGGTATCTACTTCTTGGACAGGGAGACTTTATTCGTCACTTGATGGATCTCTTAGAGTAAGTGTCTTATTGATTTGATAATCTTAATCATCTTATTGGTCTAATAATGCTATATGTGAACTAAAGTACATTTCTATGACTGTTAATGTTAATAAAAGCAGTATCTATACTTATTATTCATTGGTGATTCAGATATTTGGGAGTGAAATTTAATACATGGTTCTTAAGTATAAACTAAAATAAAGATTGCTACATAGTTTTACAAATTATTAGTTGAATTTTGTCTAATACTCTGTCACAGTCTTATGAACTTCAGAGAAGCAATTAATAAAAACCATATATTCTGAAAAATTCTATATTTTTATTAATGACAACTGTAACATTGTGTTTATCTCTGTTCGATTCCCTGTGATGGACACAGCAGATAGCCTAATGTGGCTTTGCTCTGAAACAAACAAACTAGAAAAATATACCTCATTAAAATGGTAAATACACAGACTTGGCAACATTAATCAGAAAGTCTTTGAACTCTGTACTCCATCTTCAAGTAGGGCCGGCATGGTCAGGTGGTTTGGGTGCTCGACTCGCAATCTGAGGGCCACGGGTTCGAATCCCCGTCACACCAAAACATGCTCGCCCTTTCAGCCGTGGGGGCGTTACAATGTGACGGTCAATCCACTATTCATTAGTAAAAGAGTAGCCCAAGAGTTGGCGGTGGGTGGTGATAACTAGCTGCCTTCCCTCTAGTCTTACACTGCTAAATTAGGGACGGCTAGCGCAGATAGCCCTCGTGTAGCTTCGCGCGGAATTCAAAAAACAAAACAAAAACAATTGTTGAGTGGAATTTTAGCAGTGAACCAAGACAACCTTTAAAGTGATGGAATGCAACTGTGAGGGAAAATCATGATATACAACATTGTTAATGTGTGCAACAATACAAAGTTGGTCTCAATAACAATATGCACGTGAATCTTTGCTTTGTTGGCATGGTGATCTGGCATGATGTATGTTCAGCAGCCAGTCATGTATAATCTGAAATAATATATTCAATAAATATTATTTGGTTTTGGTTACATGCTAGGGGAATTTCTAGCTCTGGCCAAAGCATAGTATTTGAGAGAAAGATACAAGGCTTTATTTCTTATTATTAAACTGAAACTGGGAAATATTAAAGTATACTTAGGGTAACTATAAGTGATGAAGAATTCATTTGTACTTCATTTAGTAGCATGCAGTCGTTTAGAACTTAATCTAATGGCTTGTTTCATAGTCTTTTAGTCATTTAATTTTAATGGAGCTCTGTTAACATCAGTAAATTAGATTATTGAAAATGACAGCTTGGTCCTGGATTTGTTTTTTCATTAGTGTGTTCAAACAATGATAACCACTCTAGTAAAAGTTGATGTACAAATTAAGTATTTTACAAATATGGGGAGAAGGAAAATCATTAAAGTGGCTGGATGGCATTCAAGGCCATAGACTCTGCTAAGTTATGGTATATTTATTATATAATGTTTTAGCTCTCCTAGAATGTTTTCAATAAATTACAGCTATTTAGGGATTGTACGAAACATTTGTGAATCAGATTGACCATAGTTTGTTTAACTCTGTGAGCTCAGCTCTGTAGAAAGTACAACTTAAATAAAGTTTTGTTTCATCATCTCTTTTGAATTGTTTAATTTTTGAATGAGTTTATAATTTAATCCAAGTACATGCAACTGAAACACTTACAAATAATATTATTATTATTTTCCTTGTTTTACAGATTGTGTTAATTTTGAGATCATGCTTAAATATACTTCAGTAGCCAGTGTATATAACATAATGTTTATATTTTGGGTGCCCACAGAGAGGAGCTGCCAAAATCAGCTAACATGCTCTATCTCCACAACCTGTCTGGAATACTTGAAAGTGCCATCCGTGCCACAAATGCTCAATTTGATAGTCCTGATATTCTTCAGCGATTAGATTTGAGGCTACTGGAGGTAATGGGTGATACTTGCATGTCTGATTGGAAGAATGCAATGTACAAGACTTCTCTAATATAATCTTAGGAAAACCATTTGTTAAATATTCATCAATTATGATTTTTGTTTCTTCAGTTAAATTGTACAAGTTAACAAATACCGATTCTACATGACTTTTCAACACCAGAGAAAAATAAAAACTTTCCATATTTTTGGATTATAGTAATGAAAATGAAAGACAAACATTGAAGAAAGTATGTGTTTGTTATAGGACCTTCATATTATATGAAGATAAAAACTACTAGCTAAAGCCCAGAAATTCGTTATACTATTCAAATCCAGCCATCAATTTGTTTTTTTAGTCATAAAATACAAAGTGACCTCATGAAAGTAGCTCTAATGTGTTACACACTGATGTGTGTAAAATAATTTTCTAAAGGCCACTTTAAGTCTTAAGAAAAACATATTTCACCCTGTGTACTCATGTTTGGGTGAAAGTGTTTATGCCCCAACTTTACACAGAGTAGCATTCAATATAGTATTATGCAATTTATGTCATATTTATCACATTTCATGTTACCCTACATTGCTAATTTTGCAACAGTTCGTGTTAGAGAAAATACCAGATAAAATAATCATCAATACTGAAAAAACTTTAGATATGCACTTAGGAGTTTATAAGAGGTTATACAAATGCAATGTGCAAACTGTACATTTGACAACACATCACGAACATATCTTGAGTACAAAAACTTTAGTAACACATCTGATTTTTTAGGTACAACAGACTTTTACTGTTGACTGAAAGCTTGCTACATCTTGTGAAGGTACACTTCATAAATTTGGGAAGTACAGTCAGTCAACATTTCTTCTCCAGTAAATCTGCTTCTGTTAGATTAAAATTCATTAATAAATAAATAAATAATTTGTTGATAAACTGTTGAAACTGAACTTAAATTTACTGACTTGTTTGACACAATCAAATGTCCATCTGAATAGAACATTTCTTGAACCATAATCATTGTATAATTGTCTACATTTCAGTTATTAACGTCAACCTACACATTTTTATAATATGTGTAGGCATATACTTATTGGAAGAAAACAATTAATATTAACTCTCTGTATAAAGGCTTGATAATTTTAACTGAGCATGTAACCATGACATTATACATATTATAACTTGAATGTAATAGATGTATCTTCATGAAACTTAGCAAGTTTTAAGTAAACATTACAAGTCATTTGTATACAAAAAGTCAGATTTTTTAATTAAGTATTCATACAAAAGATTTGTCTGTGAATGTATTGAGTGGTGATTTTCATGTTATGATTAAAAATTCTTTTTTTTTTTCATCTTACAGTTTTAACATTTCTTTGGCATAACTTCTAGAACTTCCTAAATGAATATCAAAAGTTTTTTCAATAAAATTTATATTTCGTGTACTGTTTTCTCTACCCTAACACTATATAGACTTGGTCGATGTGACCAACTTTTACAATAAAAAAAAAGATATAATTAAATTTAAATTATGCTTTTTCTTTCTACATTGATTGCAGATTGTTACAGACAATTACAATTATTTGTCCTAAATAGGTTAAAGCTCATAACTGTTTACATCTGACTTTATTTAATTTATAGTTTTGTTGTTCTTTGAACCATATCTAACTAATAACCCTGAACTACAAGCTGTAAATTCACATGATGAATGTGCAGCTCAAGCTACATTGTTGAATTATATAAAGCACAACCTACTTGTGAATTTTATCTTGCAGAGAAATGTTTTATTTTTTTCTTATCTAATTTGATATGTTTCTAATTTTTACATTTTAGTTACTTTTATAACAATAAATATAACACATACATAAAAAACAAGGAATTTAGTACTTGCATTTGGACCCTTGTATTTTTCTGTCAGCCCTTCAAGAAAATTTCACCCTCGTTCTTTGTAACTATATTACTTGTAACTAAAATAATTTTTATGTATTTGAAATATACACTTAAGAACACAAAAGAAAACAAATGATATCCTATAACTATTATAATTTAACTGGCTTTCTAATTAAGACATAAGTACATTAAAATAATTCCCTTAGCTGTTCGATCTAAACTCAACAACAACAACTTTAAATCTCTTCTGAGAACAAGGTAGCGTGATATGTCAAACGGTAAAATAGAACTTTGTCTTTTTGGTTATAAATGTCCTAATAACAGAGAAACTTATTGGCAATTTGTCAAAGAAAGGATATGATAGAGGAAATGGTGAGTCAGTTTGACTTTCTGGTTTATATCTCCGTAAACAAAGAAGATTGAAGGCTGTAGAAATAAGACTATCCATATTATAAGGACATCATAACAGGGGTGATGAAAAAATAAAAATGGCCAAGTCAGAGCAAATAAATGTCATGCGACACAGACAAGTGGAAGTTAATAATTTATTTAAATATGTGCTTATGACATTAAGAAATTAAATTACATAATATAAGAAATTGAGCTGTTAAATACATTTTGATGCCAAGTTTATTCGTATACATTGATAATAAAGTTGTTTAATTAGATTTTGAATTGACTTTTAACTTTTACCTACCCATGTCAAGAGAGAATGAGGGGGAAAAATCACTTGTTAAAATGTTGTAGATAATAAAATAAAAACTTGTGATGTGTAAAATTTTTAGACATGCTGATACTTTCTGAGTGAGGTTACCTTCAGGAAGGACGTATTATACAACTGAAAAAATCATTGTGACCCAACTGAAGAACTTTAATAAAACTCTGGTGACTTTGGATGCAGGAATACCTTAACATTTTCTTACTGGTTATGTGTAATCTGTAGTATATTTGTTTTTATAGTATACGTAAACATTTATAATAGATTGGAGTTACGTATCATGTGTCAAACATTTGGTTTATTAAGCATTGTTCAAAAGTAAATAATATACTGTTTTTTGAATAATTTTCCAGAAATTTTAACATTTGGTCCATATCCTGGTTAACCATTTTATAAACTTACTAACTCCAAACTGTTCTTTCTGTTTACATTTACCAGTGACCTAATTAAAAAATCCACTTTGAATTTGTATTATAGAAAAAAAAAGATGAAATGTTGATTTTTATTCAGACAAACATGTATATATTTAAATTTCATTTATAACATCAATATCTTTTTGAGAAATGACCTTCAAATGTTAAACTATGATCTTATGTTTTTTCATCATTCTAGGTGGTATTGTTGTTAGTTTTTGAAATCTGTGCTATGTATTTTACAGGCTTCTGTTGGAGATACTGGATGGGATGTGTTTAGCTTAGACTATCATGTTGATGGACCTATAGGCACTGTAAGTTTAAAGATAGAAAACAGTTAGTAGACTTTAAACTAAAAAAACTCTTAATATTCTAAAGGTATCAGACTAACATAGTGTGTGTATGTTTGTTAATGATACATTAGTAAAGACTGTTTGTATTTTTGTATAATATTTTAATGAAAGTGTTAAAGCATTCCTTTGAAGCAAATTATGACATCAGAATTCCATTATGTTGATCGTTGAATAATAATATCATTGTTACTTGCTTGTTTTTTATTATTGTGATGGTGCAGAAAAAAGTTTCTCCTTTTTGTAGGTTTTTACTCCCCAATGTATTAATGCTTATCTTCGTCTTTTTAACACTTTATGGAGATCAAAGCGAATAGAGTACATATTGTCTGGAATGTGGCAAACACAAATGACATACTCTCGTCTCATGAGGACATTGCCTGGTAAAGATAGTTTTAGTGAATTGTTTTGATTTAAATAGTATTACAACATAGAAGAAAATTGGAGTTTCCTGTTTTTACTTTTTCAAATTAATTTGAAGTGGTTGCTTTTATAACTTTTTAATTGTTTATTTAAAATCACTGTGGATTTTCTTTTCCTTGTTAGAATTTTGGCCATTCTAAGTATTAACTTTATCGTAGGTTAAAATCTGTTACTGATTATGAGAATCACATTTGCTTACTACCAGTTTTATAGAATTATAAAATAGCATTTATTGAAACTGTATATTGAAGTCAAATTTGTATGGAATACCTGTCTGTGTTAGATGCATATGTTACATCTCTGGAGAGAACTGAAACTTAAATAGGTCAAATTATTATATCTCCAGTACTTAGTGAAATTTTAACTGTATTAGAGTGGTATTCTTGGTTTAGAGGAATAATGGCAGACTGATAAACTACCTCCTTATACTGAGAGGTTTAAAGATTTAGTTGGTATTTCTGGTTTAGAAGAATAATGGCAGACAGGTAAACCACCTCCTTATACTTAGAGATTCAAAGATTTAGTTGGTATTCTTTGTCGAGAGGAGTAATGGCAGACAGATATACTACCTCCTTATACTGAGAGGTTTAAAGATTTAGTTGGTATTCCTGGTTAAGAAGAATAATGGCAGACAGTTAAACTATCTCCTTATACTTAGAGGTTCAAAGATTTAGTTGAATGAAATGTTTACTATAAAACAAGTACAGAGGGAAAAAAGAAACAAGGTTGATGAAGACAACTAAACACTATTTATTTTATATTGTACAATTACCCTACTTTGGGCTGAAAAGTTGAAATTAGGATAAAATAGAACTAAAATACTTGAAAACTAAAATTGAGATCTGACAGTGCACAATCAGCATTTATAATAAAAGGCCTACACAAAAATTACAAAGAAGAAGTTAATCTTCCTGAAAATGTTAAAACTACTCTCATGATCCTCATTCTTCATTTAACTGATTAATTGTAAGTAGAATACAGGAATTCAGAAGTATCTCTGCTCTATTTGACAATTGTATAGCCATTCTTTATACACAAAGTAAAGCAGAACACGATATAAATGTCCCATGAAAAGTAAATAAGCTCCGTGAGTGTACTGGCTACAGAAAGTCAAGCTTCAGGCAGAATTTTGTACACGACATCAACTGTATTTTGTGTGTTCATGTTTTGTACACCAAATGTTTTCTAGTGACATTTAATTTCTTTGACTTCACATGTGCATCTACTGAAAAAAAGGGATTATTGACAAAGGTACTTGTACCATATGTGGCATTATGCTTCACTTTTGTTTGGCTTGGGATTCACATATTAAAATAGCTGCCATACTTGAACTGTTTGTACAATTGCTCATCCATTTGATCTCCATCTTTGGGGTCCTTCTGAATTCTTTGACCAAATTGCATCAAAACTGATTAATTCAGTTCTTCATATTAACTTGTGACACCAGAAAATAGCACCAGACAATTGAGTTATATATATATATATATATACAGATAGGGGAGTGGGATACATAGTATCTGCATACCACATTAGCAAAGTGTGTGTGTATACAGTTCTGTTAACTGTAACCAAATCACATGATAATACAGAAGTTTTGAAAATTATTATTTTATGTGTGAAAGTAGTCTATAAGATATTAACTGATAATAAAATTATGACATAATTAGCAAATTGACTTTATAATTTACTTTTTTTATCACTTCTCTATTAAAATTCTCCCCTATGTGAAATTGTCTGATGTCCAAAAAAAGTAATCTACCAATGAACTCCATAGATTTAAATCAGCTACTGTCTTATAACTATAGAAGAAGATCATTATCATTAATGATTTTAAAAGGTATTATCAATTTCAAGGTACAGTTTTTCTAAGTTTATATGAATATGACAACTTTTGACAGAAATTATATGGAAAAAAAATCCATTCAGTTTTAAAAGTATGATGCAAGATTTGTTTAGCGATGAGGCAAAACATTAGTGAACACTGATCAAATGAAAATACTGTGTGAATTTTGAACTGTAAAAAATTTACCTTGCAATGTTTGAAATCTAGCATGAAGCATTTGTTGTTGTTTTTATTGTTTAAAAAAAATATTGTGAACTTGGTTAGTCTTTCTGTTCTTGATACATCTTGTGTAATTTCTCTATTTTGTCATCAAATAATTGTTTTCTCAGTTTGGTTATTTTAAACTAAGAGTTTGAAATAATGATCAGCATTTGGCAGATTACTGATCATATCAATAATGTTCAGATAAAAAGTTAAAACTTTCAGAGTTTGATCAGTTAAATTTCATGGGAAAATGTTGATTTAAATACTTTATGAAATAATTTGTAATTGAAGCATTTATTAAATAACTAAGTTGATTTAAAATTTTTTTATACATTAAATAATTGAGATGCAGCATGTGTGAATATCTGAAGCTTAACAGCAACAAAAAGTGGGATAGATCATATATATCAATGTATATAAAGGGATCTTAGGATAAAAATGAGCTAAAATACAATAAAGTTTTATTGTGTTGCACCCTTTAAGATAAGTTTACACATTTCAGGTGTGGCTCCCATCTTACATCACTGTCATTTTATCCTCACTGAAATGGTTCACTTTGTACAACAGATGCAGTACTACATTGCATTTGAGGTAGGTAAAGCACATGATGTATAATTATTATAAAAACACAGTACAGCTGAAAATTACTTTTACCTCTATACGGAGTTGGAGATCAATTTGTAGGAATCCAAGTTAGGTAAAGTAGTATATAACATTCCAGTCATATGCTACAGTAGTGTAAATGTTCATTCCCTGTAGTGTGTTTGATACAGTGGAGCACAAATAACTTTCTTTTCCTTCTAACTTAGTGTTGTATGAAATTGAATTCTTACTCTGTATTATTTACATATTCTTGACCAAGAATTCTTCTTTTTAATTCAGAATCCAAGCTTTTGTTCATATGTACAGTTTTGATTTTACCTTGTTATGCCACATATGAACAAATTTAAGCATTTGAAGAACTTTAAAACAGTCAGAGTTATTGCTTCAATTTAAGTTTAATGAGAGTTTTATGATTTAGTTTGTATAGCTCAAGTATTAAATTTAGTTATTTTTAGAAGCGATAGTTTATTGCAGGTTTGTTTAAATAACTGTTTACGAATCATATGTTATGTAGTTCAGTAGTTATGAATTGGTGATTGTTATATTATTGCATCATGTTACTAGAACATTCTGAGTTTTTCTTGATAGTTTATAGCAGGTTTGTTTAAATAACTGTTTACGAATCATATGTAATGTAGTTCAGTAGTTATGAATTGGTGATTGTTATATTATTGCATCATGTTACTAGAACATTCTGAGTTTTTCTTGTTGTTTCAATGGAGTATTATTGCATCATAACATCTAGTAGTGTGTAGAATGTTATAGACCTCTGTCGGGGTATAAATACGTGTAGAAAATTTAGTTCAAGATAGATATGTGTAGACTGCGTGATTGTGAGCTTAGCAATAAAGAGTGTATAGTGGTGATTTTTAAAGCAAAATTATCACAGACTGTATTGTAATAACAGAGTAGAGAAGAATAATTCATCTTGTCAATTGGGTTCTAAGGTAACTGAACCAGCCTGTGTTGACTTAGATGGAAAAAAAGTATTTAAAACTCTGGATACAACTGTGGTAACCAACAGTTATAGTGGAAATTTTAAAGTGAAATTATCACAGAGCAGGAAGAATAATTTGTCTTGTCAAATTGTGTTCTAAAGCAACTGAACCAACCTGGGTGAACTTTGATGAAAAAGAGATAATTATTTAAAGCTCTGGATTATATGTTTCATCATTTGTTTTTACTAAATTTGTAGTAAAAATATCTTTATTCATTGCGGCCACGGGTCATAAATAATAAGCAGCATGTGAATATTATTTGAGGGGTTTATTTTCTGTGTGTTTGTGTTTTATTTCCATATAGATAAATATGTAGCTGATACGTAAAGTTAGCAAAGTCTGATGGCAGCAAATGATCAGTAATGTTCATATCATTCTTAACTTTTGTAAAAACAATTTAGATATAAGATCATTTTGTGTGTGTGTGTGTGTGGGAGGGGAGAAGGCCAGTCATGGAAACAAATATTACAAAACCATTAGCGAGTTGTTTTGTCAAAAATTAATGTTGACAAGTAGTGTATTTATTCATGTTTAACTGTTCATCAGTAAAGAAAATATAAAGTCAGATTACTACATAAAACATTTAAGCTAGCAGAGTATATGTTTGTGTGTGTTCAGTATTTGTAATGGCCATTATGTAAATGATTTATGACTTTTTTTCTGTATTTGATAAAAATGTATTTGCCTTCTGGACTTGTGTCTTACTGTACATCACTTAGGTTATGGAATGTTCTTGGGCTGAGCTACAACAAAAAGTCATGTCTGCCGAAGACTTAGATCAAGTAATTGCTGCACATGAAGAATTCTTAGATAGTATCATGACAAGGAGCTTACTGGATGAAGAATCTAAGGTTGGTGTAGTGTGCAGAACTGCATCTTAGTCAGGAGATGTATACCTTATTGTACAATACATAAAATGACTGATTATGAGATGACTTAATAGTTTCTAGAAAAATCATTAAGACAGCTTTAGTCCTGATGTTTTTTTATGGCAGTTGTTAATCTATATTTTATTTAATATATTTTCACTGTTTGATATAATAAAGGTGTTTTCCTAGATATTACCTTACTTCTGCACACAGAAATGTTATTTTCCTCACTAGTCTGTCTATGAGATTTGCATGCCATTAGCCTTGAGCTAACTTCCACCTAAATTCAGTGTATAATGTGAACTGCGCTGGTGCATGGTGATGTCATCACCCAACAATAGGAGGGCAACACAACCTCCATGCACAGTAACCTGATGAGATTTGCATTTGTTAACATAACTTTGATCTTCATTTAATTTCTTTGGCTTTTTGTTTCAAAAGTTTTAAATTTTATAGTGAATTCTCAAGTGATAGTGACTTTAATTTTTGTCTTGTGTGGGTGACAATTTTACTGTTATTGTACAGCATGTCATGGGATTCATCATGCATGCTAATCCATCTATTCCTGTCCATTCAGCTGATGTTTTTCCTCTCATTTTGAGGTTGAATTGGCTTTGGGTACATCCCTACTGATTGAGGAAAATCCACAACCTTCTACACTGTTTCAGGACATGATATCACAAGTATGTTCCTTTATTTCTCTTTTGCCTGTGTCTTATGATTCCTCCTGTTCTTTGCTCCATATCGTAGCCCTTGTGATTATTTAATGTTTCTTTCCTCACGTTCAGGTTCATGCTGATTCTTTCCTAGAACAACTTCATACCTGTATCTACATGCTTCATCTTCCTTGCCTTCTTGTTTCCAATTTTCTAGTTTACAACCCTTTTTCTTTTCCTTTCTTAGATTATCAGTCTTTGGAATCTCTATCATCTGCTTGGGGAGTAGACCCTTGTCTTTTGTCTCGCTCTCAACTACCCAGTTTTTGCATCTTTTTTTCTGTTTCTCACCACCCTCCTACACTACTTATCCTTCCTACACTTCATGTCTGTGGCATTTCATCATGCTCCGGAAGGGTTTTCAGGTGAGGTTTATTCTTTCTTTGTACCACAATGGCTTTTACCACTTTTTCTGCATTCCTCTTATTTGCATGATCTCTGTCAAGCTACCTTTCTTCAGTTTGATGCCTTTGGTGGTATTCCTGATTTGCTGAAGTCCAAGGCTGAAACAGCTTAGTACCAGTCCTCTTTACCTTCCCTAGATTCTTGCCTATCTCAATCTTGCCCTTTCACTCCTGTTCCTTGACTGGCTCAGTCTGTCCCTAGTCTTCCTGTTTCACCTTCCAGATCTTTCTCTTTTTCCTGTCCTCCATTTACTTGCAGTCAGGTTTGTTTACACATATCAGTAGTGATTGTCATGTTAGGTTGAGCCCACTGGATGCTCATCTGATTTGGTTCGCAGGCCTATTGTCACTCTTCTTCACAGACAAATGCGTTTTTCAATTTCTGACTCATTGTTTTTCTCTCCGCACCTCTTCTCTTCCTAATCTATCTTAAATGCCTCAAAGATGTGGTATCAGATCATTTGGCCAAACACACCTTCGAGATGATATACGACCCTTCTCTAGGGTTTTACCCTCACCTCTTTGTGGTCCCAAGAAGACCAGGGACTTGCTTCCAGTAATCTAGCTATCATCTCTCAACCAATTTGTAGTTGTTTCACAATTTCAGATGGTAAATTTCTTCTACTTCTGATGGTCCTTTTCACCCAGACTGTGGATAACCAAGGTTGAGGTTTCAGATGCCTTCCTCCACATCCCAACTGTCCCATCCTCTAAATGCATTCTACGATTCATCTATAGGAATCACATCTTCCAATTCCATACTCTTCCCTTTAGCATAACATTGGCCCCTTATATATTCAGTTGAATTGTAAGGACCTTCACTTCCCACCATCATGGCTTGGGACAGAGACCTCTCTTCTCCTACAGGAAGCTGCTCAGTTGGGGTGACTTGTCAAGCTATCCAAGTCCTTTCTCACACCTTCTCAGTATTTGGTACATCTGGGTATCTTCTTCAACACTCATCTTAGCTAAGTTCAGCCTTCCCTAATCCTGTGAACTTTGGAGTATCTGGTAACCAAGATTCATGCTTCTCCTTTCGCATGAGATATTCTTTTGCTCTTTGGGATACATTACTTATAGCATTCCCTTGCAACCCCCCAAACTGGGTCTCTTCACTGATGCTTCTCTTTTAGGTTGGAGTGCTTCTCTGAAGAATGAGCATTCACTCCACATCAACATTATCAAACATCTCACTGTTCATTGAGCATGTTCCCATATCCTCCCCATACTGGTGGATCACTTGGTCGTGATCCCTCCAAAAATTCCATGGTAATTTCTTACATCAACCATCAAGGGAGCATCCATTCCAGGACCCTTTGCTTTCAGGTGTTGGACCTGCTCTTCTGGGCCCATTCACATTAGGATTGTCTTGTTGCCTGTTATGTTCTGGAAGCTATGAACAAGGTGGTGGACCACCTCTTTTGACTGGAATGCATTCTACCAATGGAGTGGTCTCTCAACCCCCTTGTCTTTCATTAGGTTTGATCTCAATTGCACATGCTTCTCATAAACACCTTTGTCATCCCTCTCAACTCCAAGCTTTCTTTTTTTCTTATGGTCTTCTGTTCTTCATCCTTCGGCTCTGGCTCTCAGCCAGAACTGGTCTCACCTTTTTCTATATGCCTATCCTTCTCTTCAAATCTTCCCTTGGGTCCTCACTTTGACATGTGACACTCTTTGCCAGAGTTTTCTGGTAGCACCTCTTTGGCCAACTCAGCCTTCATTTCCTCTACTTCTTTGTTTAGTGTCCAAATCCCTCTTCTTCTAACCAATGACCCATGTCTATTGCTTCAACCTCAAATGTCTCCTTCTCATCAAGGCATATTATCCCTCCATCTTCACACATGGGATTCGTTTGATCCATCACCCACCACTCTCTGATTATGTAGTGTTCTTTTTGTCACATTCCTCTCACCCTTCCACTATGTTTATCTGTCAATGAAAGTGGCAGGTCTTTCATCATTGGTTCATCTGCCACTTCTTTCCTCCTGGCCTTCCTACTGTGATCCACCTTTCTGCCTTTTTTACCTTGCTGTATGACAATGATTTGTCAGTCACTATCATTGCAGGTTTTTGGGCGGCCTTGTCTACAGGATGATTTCTTCCCCTGACCTCTTGGCCTGACTAACTGGCCCTAACTGGGACATTACCGTGGTTTTGCATACTCTTATACATGCCTCATTTGAGCCATTGGCTTCCTGCTTTTTGTACCACCTTTTTCCTCAAGATTTATTTATTCCTTCTTTCCCTCATGTGATCACTGTTGTTCATGTCTATGCTGTTGATGCTTCTTGCACCCTCTTCCTTAGACTTATTGACTACTCTTCCTTGACTGATCTTTCTTTACTAAGATCTCTTCCACTCAGGTAGGTAACTGTACTTTCAGTCTTATCCCCCTTCCTTCTATCTCTTACCTATATGATTTTTCAGACCCGTATTGGCTCCGGTGTACTGTTTGAGTTGTTAGTCGTTATTTATCACAGACTTCTCCCTTTCAGGATCCCTGCCATTGTCTGTTCCTAACCTGGGACCTATCTCTCTTTCTACCCCTACTGGATGGGTCCATCAATTTCTCTAGTTGGTATATTCTTCTCTGTATATGGATGCTTGCAGGCTATTTCACATTTCTTCTTGTCAAATTTGTCATCATACACCAGCACAGTTCACAGTAAACACATGAATTTAGGTCAGAGTTAGCTCAGGACTAGTGGCATGCAAATCATAGGCAGATGTAAAGAATTGAGTATCTATTGGAAATACATTTTCAGACTAGTAAAATGTTCACTTTTAAAGGATAACATAGCATTTTCACTGAGAAATTTTTACTTAAAGATACAAATCCCGTTGAATCTAGATGATTAACAATAATGTCATCAGAAAAAGTTGTGAATTGTTTCTTTACTTTCAGGATGTTTTGACTCAGCTGCGTGCCATCTATGATTTAGTAATCAGATTTCAAAGTATCCAAACTAAGTTCTGGTACCAAGCTCTTAGTGAAGTGGATGCTAGAAAAACTCTAGAATCTCAAATTGGCTCAAAAACTGAAAAGGTAAGTTGTCAATTCATTATAAACATTAATCTCTTTTAAGGCTTTTAGAAAATGGAGTATAAAGCAAAAGATATGCAATATACGATAGGAAATATACTCAGACTAATATACACAAATTTAAATAGTGCCATGTTTAAAATGTTATTTATTTTAATTTTATTTTTTGCTTTTAAAACTTTTTAAGAAAAAAATCTTAATTACAATGAAAATTGTAATACACTATAAAATGAATGTTATTTTTTAATTCTTCTTATAGGGAAATTGGGGTGTAACAGAAGCTGAAGTTCAAGTAGAAAGGCAGCATCAAGTAGAATTTGAAAAGAAAATTGTCCCAGCAACTAAAGCACAACTTCGTGTTTTAGCAAATTCGTATCAGGTGATCTACAGTTTTGATTCACATAGAGCTTATACTTAATCCCCAACTAAAGTAATTTCTGTAAATAATTCAGTATTTCAATTGTATGCATAAACCGGTCGTCCATCTCTTG